CTTTATCCACCAGAAACACATGTCCACAAACAAAACTTCGGGTACATGAGGAACCCTTCTTGCTTTTTTCTTCATTATGACCTAGAGCTAGTTTCGACATTGGCATCTAATTTTTAAAATACTTCATTGATGATCTAATCACTACTGCATACATGCAAAACCTTAGTTCCCATGAACATTAAGAGTTATTGGTATTTCAAATTTCATCAAAGTCTCTTCCGTGGATTTAAGCAGGAACATATATATTGATATACTGTTCCAAGATTTAAGCCAGGTGTCTGAAAGGCCCATTATGTATTCAAGTGAATTTAAGTTCTGTGGTACATTCTAATGTACAATGGGTAAATGTCTGGTTAACAATTAATCTTATCTTTGTGCAGCATAAGCATCCCTATTAAGTAAGACAGTCCGTGCATGACCCATGACATAAGATTTTTATGCATTTCATTGGCTATTTTCTATCAAAAGCCAGACCAGCTAGTAACCTATACCAATATACATGTCTGAAGACGAATTTACACATTTTTGTTTGATTTTAATTTGTGAAAATTTAGATAAACTGAACTCTAGAACTTATGTTTTCGGGACGTCGGGTTGGGCCTTCATTTTGCTGAGAATTCTAACCCGAATAATCCAGTCGTTATATTTCACTCACTTCGATCACTACATGAAAACAATGACCGTAAGGGGGCCCTGTTATTAATCAAGTTACGGGAATTCAGGATTTACGTTTATTAGGACTCGGGAATCAATGATTAATTTTTCTGGGTTTCTGGAAAGAATGCTTTTTTGGGGGAGATTTCGGTATTCAGACTTTGATTTTCAGGAAATTCGGGATGACACCCCTCCTACCCCCTCTCGCTCTCTTTAGCAGACAATGTTGACAAAAAAAGAAAAAAAATCATTCTGTATGAGAATTTGAATTTGTTAAATATTTGCAATTCTTATAAAATCACAAAACTTGCAGATTTTTATACGACCGCTAAAAAATTGTGTATATTGGTATGACGTTGGCATTGTCGTCGTCCAGTGTCATCGTCGTCTGAAGACACATTGGTTTTCGCACTCTAACTTTAGTTTAAGTGAATGGATCTCTATGAAATTTTACCATATCACAAAAGGAAGGTTGGGATTCATTTTGGGGGTTATGGTACCAACAGTTAAGTAATTAGGGGCCAAAAAAAGCATTTTTATACGACCGCAAAAATTAAAAATTTTTTGGTCATTTTTTGGTCGTATATTGGTATGACGTTGGCGTCGTCGTCGTCGTCGTCGTCGTCCGAAGACACATTGGTTTTCGCACTCTAACTTTAGTTTAAGTGAATGGATCTCCATGAAATTTCACCATAAGGTTCAATACCACAAAAGGAAGGTTGGGATTGATTTTGGGGGTTATGGTAATAACAGTAAAGGAATAAGGGGCCAAAAAGGGGCCAAAAATAAGCATTTTTGTAACTTTCAGACAATAACTTGTGTGTAAGTGTATGGATCTCTCTGACATTGTACCACAAGGTTCCATATCACAAAGGGAAGGCTGTAATTGATTTTGGGGGTAATTGCCTCAAAATTTTAGGAATTAGGGGCCAAAAAAGGGGCAAAAAACAAGCATTTTTCTAGTTTCATGACAATAACTTGTGTGTAAGTGTTTGGATATTTCTGAAATTGTACTACAAGGTTCCATATCACAAAAGGAAAGCTGGAATTGAGTTTGGGGGTAATTGCCCGAAACGTTTAGGAATTGGGGGCCAAAAAGGGGCCAAAAATAAGCATTTTTCTAGTTTCCAGACAATAACTTGTGTTCAAGTGTATGGATCTCTCTGAAATTGTACTGCAAGGTACCATACCACAAAGGGAAGGCTGGGATTGAGTTTGGGGGTGATGAATCATAAGGGGGTTCAAAAAATTTGGGGGGGGGGGGGGGGGGGTTTCTTTTTTTCCTTTTTTTTTTCTTTTAAAATTTTCCATTTTAAGTTGGTTATTTCTGATTTATATTTAAAAGCAAATAATAATGATATGGTAGGAGATACACACCAAACACGATGTGTAAATTATTATATAATAAGTATTGTGCAATAGCAAGAAATTTTCAATTGCACAGTATTGCACAATAGCAAGAAATCTTCTATTGCACAGTATTGCGCAATAGCAAGAAATCTTCAATTTTACAGTATTGCGCAATAGCAAGAAATATCCAATAGCACAATATTGCGCAATAGCAAGAAATTGTCAATTGTACAGTATTGCGCAATAGCAAGAAATATTCAATTGCACAGTATTGTGCAAAAGAAGATACTTCGTATAAATTGCTTATTTCTTGATCAATTTCAATGGGGTTTTATTCTTGAATTCTTGGGGTTCTTTAATATGCTGAATCTAACTGTGTATTAAGTTTTTGGATTTTGGGCCCCGTTTTTAAATTGGTCCACATTGAGGTCCAAAGGGTCCAAAATTAAACTTTGTTTGATTTCATCAAAAATTGAATTATTGGGGTTCTTTGATATGCCGAATCTAACCGTGTATTTAGATTTTTAATTTTGGGTCCCGTTTTTTAAATTTGTCTACATTAAGGTCCAAAGGGTCCAAAATTAAACTTAGTTTGATTTTAACAAAAATTGAATTCTTAGGGTTCTTTGATATGCTGAATCTAAACATGTGTTTAGATTTTTGATTATGGGCCCAGTTTTCAAGTTGGTCCAAGTTGGGGTCCAAAATTAAACTTTGTTTGATTTCAACAAAAATTGAATATATGGGGTTCTTTGATATGCTGAATCTAAACATGTATTTAGATTTTAGATTTTTGGCCCAGTTTTCAAGTTGGTCCAAATTGGGGTCCAAAATTAAACTTTGTTTGATTTCAACAAAAATTGAATATATGGGGTTCTTTGATATGCTGAATCTTACCATGTATTTAGATTTTTTATTTGTGGGCCCGCTATCAAATTGGTTCATATTGAGGTCAAAAGGGTCCAAAATTAAACTTTGTTTGATTTCATCAAAAATTGAATTATTGGGGTTCTTTGATATGCCAAATCTAACCGTGTATTTAGATTTTTAATTTTGGGTCCTGTTTTTTAAATTGGTCTACATTAAGGTCCAAAGGGTCCAAAATTAAACTTAGTTTGATTTTAACAAAAATTGAATTTTTGGGGTTCTTTGATATGCTGAATCTAAACATGTGTTTAGATTTTTGATTATGGGACCAGTTTTCAAGTTGGTCCAAGTTGGGGTCCAAAATTAAACTTTGTTTGATTTCAACAAAAATTGAATATATGGGGTTCTTTGATATGCTGAATCTAAACATGTATTTAGATTTTAGATTTTTGGCCCAGTTTTCAAGATGGTCCAAATTGGGGTCCAAAATTAAACTTTGTTTGATTTCAACAAAAATTGAATATATGGGGTTCTTTGATATGCTAAATCTTACCATGTATTTAGATTTTTTATTTGTGGGCCCGCTATCAAATTGGTTCATATTGAGGTCAAAAGGGTCCAAAATTAAACTTTGTTTGATTTCATCAAAAAATGAATTATTGGGGTTCTTTGATATGCCAAATCTAACTGTGTTTTTAGATTTTTAATTTAGGGTCCCGTTTTTTAAATTTGTCTACATTAAGGTCCAAAGGGTCCAAAATTAAACTTAGTTTGATTTTAACAAAAATTGAATTCTTCGGGTACTTTGATATGCTGAATCTAAACATGTGTTTAGATTTTTGATTATGGGACCAGTTTTCAAGTTTGTCCAAGTTGGGGTCCAAAATTAAACTTTGTTTGATTTCAACAAAAATTAAATATATGGGGTTCTTTGATATGCTGAATCTAACCATGTATTTTGATTTTGGACATTGGACCATAATAGGTAAATTAAAAAAATTGAAGTTCTTAGACCACATTCTTTCTGTGTCAGAAACCTATGCTGTGTCAAATATTTAATCACAATCCAAATTCAGAGCTGTATCAAGCTTGAATGTTGTGTCCATACTTGCCCCAACTGTTCAGGGTTCGACCTCTGCGGTCGTATCAAGCTGCGCCCAGCGAAGCATTTTATTGTAACTTCCAGACATAACTTGTGTGTTAGTGTATGGATCTCTCTGACATTGTACCACAAGGTTCCATATCACAAAGGGAATACTGGGATTGATTTTGGGCGCAATTGCCTCCAAATTATAGGAATTAGGGGTCAAAGAGGGGCAAAAAACAAGCATTTTTCTAGTTTCATGACAATAACTTGTGTGTAAGTGTATTGATATTTATGAAATTGTACTACAAGGTTCCATATCACAAAGGGAAAGCAGGAATTGAGTTTGGGGGTAATTGCCCAAAACATTTAGGAATAAGGGGCCAAAAAGGGGCCAAAAATAAGCATTTTTCTAGTTTCCAGACAATAACTTGTGTTCAAGTGTATGGATCTCTCTGAAATTGTACTGCAAGGTACCATACCACAAAGGGAAGGCTGGGATTGAGTTTGGGGGTGATGAATCATAAGGGGGTTCAAAAAATTGGAGGGGGGGGATTTTTTTTTCCTTTTTTTTCTTTAAAATTTTCCATTTTAAATTGGTTATTTCTGATTTATATATAAAAGCAAATAATAATGATATGGTTTGAATAGGTAAATTAAAAATTTTAAGTTCTTAGACCACATTCATTCTGTGTCAGAAACCTATGCTGTGTCAAATATTTAATCACATTCCAAATTCAGTGCTGTATCAAGCTTGAATGTTGTGTCCATACTTGCCCCAACTGTTCAGGGTTCGACCTCTGCGGTTGTATCAAGCTGAACCCAGCGGAGCATTTTATTCCATATTATCTCAATTTCATGTCAGGTAATTGATTCAGATTCAAGCTCTCAGGAACCTCTTGTCTTTGAATTTATTACTCATTGGTTAAGAGGGGTGAAGAGGGATAATATTCATGAGTCAAGACAAACTATTGTCATCCAATTATTTTATGCCAATACATTATTCGCCTTTTATTATAAATTTTCTATCTTCTTTTAATATTAGGTTGAAGCTGAAAAAGAATTTTTGTTACAGAGTCATTCTCTGGTACAGAAAGAAACAGAAAAACTAACAAAGAAACTGAAAAATGAAGGTATTAGCAAAGATATTATAGTATATATTCCCTATGGTAGGTTACTGAATTCATTATGTCTATCATTCAGGACAAACTCAAACATTTTGTAATATATTGCTCAGCTTCTGTATTTAGTGCAGATTGTATATCTGCACTTATTATCTGGTTTAGAGGTTGTTAAAGCCAATTGTGTCTTGTAAGCAATATAACCAATTTTCAGTTTATGAATTAAGGAATTAAAATAGAACTAAGGTTGTTAATTGCACAAAGTAAGTTTTGATGGTTATAAGATGCTCAAAAACATCATGAATTTGACTTTCCAAAGTTTGGGTCTTTGGCATACCTTTTTAAGTTGTTCCAAAAATATGTGTCATACACATTTACATTGATATCATACATTTATACCAGATAGCTGTGCAGACACATCTTGTTTACTGTCATTTTGAATAAATTGGCAAATTATGACGTCTTATCCAATTTGATTTTTATAAATTTTAAATTTTACGTTTCCAAGTTACAGGGTTTTATTCATTAAAAAAGGGGGATTTTCCAGTTTTCCGACAATAACTCAAAAATGCTTTCAGCAGTTCTCATGAAACTTTGATGAATTATTGATATCTATTGATGTAAGCTCCCTTTAGAATTTTATAAATTTTAGATTTTACATTTCTGAGTTATGGGGTTTTATTCATTAAAAAAGGGGGGATTTTCCAGTTTTCAGACAATAACTCAAAATTGCTTTCAGCAATTCTTATGAAACTTTGGTGAATTTATTATATCTATCCATGTAAGCTCCCTTTAGAATTTTATAAATTTTATTTGTTTATAGTCTAACAACAGATTTACTAAGTATTGCGCAACAGCATAGTGTATTGCACAACAGCAAGAAATCTTTAATTGAATATAAATTCAATTCATATAACCAATTTCAAGTTCTTTGACTACATTTATTCAGAAACCTATAATATGTCAAATATTTAATTTCAATCCAAATTTAGACCTGTATCAAGCTTGAATATTGTATCCATTTTTGCCCCAACTGTTCAGGATTGGACCTCTGCGGGCGTATCCAGCTGTGCTCAGCGAAGCAGTTTATTTAAGATATCTTTAAGTTTTAGTTTGAGTCTGAGAGGGGTATGGTGTACAAATAAATATTCTTGTTATTTACTTCTTTTATATTTTTTAAAATTATATTATTTTAAATTCTTTTTAAAAGGAATATAGTAGCTTACCCTTTAACTATTGTTTATGACCTTAAAGTCAGCACCGGCTTTGTCTCTGACCTTTTATTAAAAAATGTAAAATTTCAAAATGCCAAGATATCCTGAAATGATTTACATACCTGATAGGTATGGAGGATAGAGTGAATCTCACCAATTTGACTTTAGACAGGTTTCTTGTAAGGGAGGTCAACTTTTCCTTCAAAAGACAAATTTCCCAATAGTTTACCATTATGAATAAATGTTTGAACACTTCAGCTAAGGGTCTAGTGTTTTTTTTTGTTTTACCCTATTAATATGTTAAGATTATCTTAGCTCACAAATTTATGCTTTCTGAAAAAAATATCCGAAGCATATGATAATCTGTTAATCACTTTGTCCATGCATCCTTTCCCAAGTCTTTGTCTTAAAAAGATTGGTTTCCTGACAATAACTTAAGTATTCCTAGCTTGATTGGAATAAAACTTATACAGATGGAAGGTATTAGGAAGGGAAAAAATTCTTGAGAAAATTGAGGTCAAAGGTCAAATTCACTGTTACTAGAAATAGGAAAACAAATTGAAAAAATGGTTTCCTATTGCTAACTTGAGGTTTCCATGCTTGATTCAGATGAAATTTATACAGATAAAAGCTATAAGAAAGGGGGGAAGAAGCCTTTTTGGGTTCAACAGGTCAAGGTTACAGGTAATACAGATTTGTTTTAATGATGTTGTTTCCAGATGGTAACCCACTATCAATTGTGACACATTTAGAAAAATTAGCAATAAAAACTCATGGTAATTTGTCCCTCAAAGCATACTAGTATGAATACTTGAATGTGATGCTATCTAAAATGATTTTCCAAAAAGATTGTGTTATGAATGTGATGCTGTGATTCTTAGAAACAAGATAGTATTTTAAAATTCCCTGTTTACCAGGATACTTTGTGAATCTTGTATCGAGAACTCAAAGGCACCAATTAAAATCCATAAGAACAAACACTACAATGGCTAAAAAATGGTAATCAACAAAAACACTATACAGAAAACTAAAGTAACGCTAACCAACCAAAACCAAGAGTGAATAATAAGAATGGATATGTTATTACCTCCTTTGGATCATCCTAATGTATATTGATTTGTAAATAAGGAAATACATGTATATGTAAACCAAAATGTTTAATTGCAATGTATATCCAAATTAATTAAGTTCATTTATGATGATTTTTTTTCAGCAAACGAAATATTGGAGGAAGCACAGGCTAATTCTTCAAAGGCATTAACACTTGCAGAAGCTGACCGTGAAGCTAGTTTAACCTCAGCCTATGTCCATGGCTTGAAGTATTTGTATTTAACACTAGGAGTAAATAGTGAAGAACATCAACTTTCTTTGATGATGATAAGGGCACTAGAAGATTCTAATGTGAAGGGCAACTTGTATAGGGGATATGGTTATAATACCTCAACTATTGTTAGTTCGCCTTAGTTATGTTATAAACAACAACCTTATTAGGGATATATGTTTACTGTGGATTCGTTATTATTTGTAGGGTACTAATTTTTGTGAGTTTTATGATCAAAGCTTAATCACAAATTAAATTTCATGAAATACAAATCTATTGGTTTGAGTGCACAGTTTTTTAAGAATCGCAAAATAAAATATCTAACGAAATATAATTTTTCTTGAAAACGTGAAAATTGGTACCCATAAATATAAATCATTTCACAGTTAATTCATTATCTATAGTTCTATTCTACAAAATGTGATATTGTTTTTCTTGAAAACCATTATTCCAAAATATTTATAAATTGTTCAAATGAAACTGATTTATTTTTTGGTTTCAGATTGGAATGTTTCATAGGTTTTGATATGTGATATAAACTTGGATGTATTTTTATGTGAGCTCAAGATACAATTGTAGGTAAACATAATGCAGAAAAAAATAAATTGCTGTCATTCAAAAACATAATTTTACACTGATTTATTTCTTCTATTTTATACCTTTATATTATTTATTAAATACAAGTGTTTACAGTTGTCCAATTTATTTATTCATGATTAATACACATATTTGTTTATATTACAAAATATTATTTTATACCCATAACATTTTCAAAGCCTGTGTATGTATTCAAATTTGCAATATTCAATTTTATGTGTAAAAAACAAGCTTCAGCTTCAAACTTTCTGATAAGAGCTCTTATAACACAGTAATATTGTCTGCAGCCAGTTTTATGTGAAAACTAATTTGTATTATGGTTATATTTGTGAAATTGCAAGGGTGGGAATGTGTTATTAGACAATAACAATTCTTTCTCTTATTATTTAAAATGTCACCATTTGTCTGATTATGTTGAATATCCATACCTGAAATATTGTTGTCAGATTAAAAAAAAAATCATTGCATATTACATAGGATATATACCATTCATATGCTGTTTTGACTAATCAGTTTTCCCAAAACAAAACAAAAATATGGCAGAATTTTAGGAGGTCCCATATCATTTTGCTTTTATGAAGTATGGAAAATAAAAGGCTACATATTACAATACATGTGTGTATTAATATAAAAATTTGAACTGTAACATTGTTATAGAACCATAGAATTCTAACAAACATACAAAAACGGTAACCTAAAGTTGTTAATTTCTGGGTCATTTGGTCTCTGGTGGAGAGTTGTCTCATTGGCAATTATACCACATCTTCTTATTTTTATAAGTATCTCATATTGAATTTATCTTTATTGTTTTAAATCAAGGGAGAAATGCAACACTTATGCACTGAAAAAGAAATCATATATCTTACCAACACTAAGTGATCAAACTAGAATCAAGATTAATTTATATTATATGGTAGAAGGGAGACAATTCTTTATAATTTCAAACCCCTTTTTTTATTCAAGATGTAGAAAAAAAGTCATGTTAATGAGGAGTTTTAACTTCCTACCCATCATGAAAATTAAAAAAAAAAAACTTGATTTTGGTCAGTTCATATGTAACAATCATACACTTAAGAAAAGTGATTCACGTGAATGAATTCTACAAATACTAGTAGTTAATTTTGATACTTGACTAACTGTTGGGTACATATCATGAAATGGACAATGGTACATTCTAATGGTACTGCCGGTTCAGGCAAGAAAGTTGACTTGAAAGTCCAATCTTAATCATTGAGTTATCTACTTTACAGAGTTTTTGTAGTGTATTTGAACACATGTTTAAGTGGACATTCTGGGTTAGCTTTTGATATAACTTTGAACAAAATATTTTCCTTGTTCTTATTTTGTGAGAAAAACATCATCCATTCTCCTTCATAACATTTCATATTATAATAAACTCATAGTTTAAAAACTTTTTAGCTGCAGTATTCCAAAAGGAATATAATTTGTAGCAACATTTCTAAATCGTTTAGTGCTAAACCCCAAAAATCTTACTTTTGATTGCTGTGAATATATTTCTCAGGTGGATTGTGTTCTCAGTCAGTAACTCTTTCATCTTACAGAATATTAAAGGAAATACTTCATGAGGACAACAGTCATTTCTTTACATGTTCAGAATCTATACACAGTTGAGCATAGGACTTTTCATTATCCCTTGAAATATTGAAAATTCACCTTTTTTATTATATTTGTTCAACATTAAAAATTCAAATGTGAACAAATAAAGAACTTTTTGACTTCTATAACAAGCCTTGTTTAAGGTTTTTAGAGATACCCAATATAATTCACCATTTTTTTATTAATAGACTTAGAATTTTTCAATTACATTTTTTTTTTTGGACATTTGGTTTTCCATATTTTCATTAGTTTTGGGATATTGTCAACCTAACTTTATTTTAAGAATATAAAATGTTCATGATATTATTACTTATTTTTACTTTCAAATTAAAAGAATTTACAATATTGACTACCTGCTAACAAGGTTCAGATAAGGAACAAAATAAATGGATTGACTCAAAAGATCTGTGACTGCCATTGATTTCTTGTCTCACTTTTTACTTTTCATTGTCCTGAGTGTTCTTGATTTTTTTCTACTGGATGTTAAGAAGCCACCAGTCTATCATGTTACTTGTATATTTATGTTATTTATAGTATTGTACCCCACTCTTACGATAGTTTTATATTGCAATAAATGTACTGTTTTTTACTTTATAATAAATCCATTTTCCTAAAACTTGTCTCATTTTTTTTTTTAATTATTTGCTTGATTTGTGCTACCATACTTATTTGTTGATTCTGAATACTGTCATTGAATATGTTTGCCTTGACAATGTCTAAAAGTTTAGCCTTTGGATTAAATTTGCAAGTTAAGGATAAATTTGAACTTCACACTAATATTAACGCTTTCTACAAACCATTCGCACGTCGGATATTTTCACGTTATGTGATTGCAAAAATAAGCATAAAAAAACATGCTAATTTTTCCATATTTACAGTATTGAAACCAGTAAACAAAATGAAACAAAATTGGCAACATATTTCTTTAGCTAAACACATCAAAACTGAAAACTGGCTATAAAAGGTTAAACTCCAAATCGTAAAAACAAACTAGTGGCTCTAAAGAGCCTGTCACTCACCTAGGTATATGAGCATCTTCAACAATGGACTCTATCCAACATTGTGGACTAGAATAGAATTCATGACAAAAATCTTTTTTTTTTTGTTGATCTTGTATTGCTGATAATTTTTTTAGTTTACAGTTTCTCTCTATTTTCTTTAGTTTTTGCCCAAAACACAAAAAAACCCAGTAAAAATGACATCAAATAAGGCAATCTCTCCTATAAAGAGTAAACCAACAATTTCGACAAAATTTTACTTATTTGTAGATCTTGTCTTGCTGATCATTTATGTTATTTAAAGTGCATGTTTATCTATCTTTTATAGTTTTCAAGATGGTAGGCATAAAATATTGGTAAAAATCGTCATTAAAGAGCAAGTACTCCTACAAGGAGTTGACTGATGACTTCCGCTATTTGACTTATTTGTAGATCAAGTCTTGCTGATCATTTTTGCTTAATTATTTTTCTATATATCATAGTTTTTTAGACTTTAAGGCAAAAATGCACAAAAATGGTAAAAATCATTATCAAGAGCAATAACTCCAATAAAGAGTTGTCACGATTTCAAAGATATAAGAAGATGTGGTATGAGTGCCAATGAGACAACTCTCCATCCAAGTCAAAATTTATAAAAGTAAACCTTTATAAGTCAAAGTACGGTCTTCAACACGGAGCATTGGCTCACACCGAACAGTAAGCTATTAATGACTTAACTTATTTGTAGATCTTGTCTTGTTGCTAACTTTTGTTTACTTAAGTTTCTATCTATCTAAAATAGTTTTTCAGATATTAGGCAAAAACGCAAAAAATTGATAAAAATTGTAGTTAAAGGGCAATAACTCCAACAAGGAGTCGTCTGATGATTTCGACCATGAGCACTTATTTGTAGATCCTTGTCTTGTTGATCATTTTTCATATAAAAAAGTTTCTCCCCATCTATTATAATTTGTCAGATAATAGACAAACATGAAAAAATCAGTAAAATTCGTCATTGAAGGGCAATAACTCATATAAGAAGTCGTCTGACAGTTTTGAAGTAAATAGATAATTTGTAGATCTCATCATTCTGAACATAGCCCCTGTCAGATTTTCTCTTTTCATAGCAGTTTTCAAGATAATAGACAAAACTTGCATTTTACCCCTATGTTCTATTTTTAGCCATGTCAGCCATGTTGGTTGGCAGGCGGGGTTATCGGACACATTTTTTAAAAATTGATACCCTAATGATTATTGTGGCCAAGTTTGGTTAAATTTGGCCCAGTAGTTTAAGAGGATAATTGTAAAAGTTATCGACAACAGACCTTTTAAGCCAGATGAGATAAAAATGATGAAAGTCAAATGATAGAAAATGGTTGCCCAAAGTTTTTATCTCAAAGATCTTGTAACCACTTTTCCACATTGATATTGATATTTCATTTTGTTACTTCTTTTACTGTGTACAAAAGAGAAGTTTTCCAATTTCCAGGAAAATCAATACCTTGGAAATAAATGAATCTACAGTTAAATACACTCCCTGCCCATAGGAGGTGCCTTTACAGCTCAAAACTATACTAATTTTACTATGGAGTTAAGGGAAGAGTCAAATATTCCTATAAAAGAAGAGGCTTTTTTTATCATTTACATACTGTAATACATGTATTTCACTGATCAAGATAAAAATGTTAGAGTTGAGCACATACAAACTACTTAATCAAGCCACATGTTTAATATAAATTTTCCATGGCAGGAAGGTTATAAATGGATGTCTTTTGTCTTTAACTTATGGATCAAGTGTAAACCAACATGAAGTACTATAAACCTGAATGTGCAGTATAATTCTGACTTTTCAGAAACAGCAAATCAATAAATCAATCAGATGCTTCATTCTTTAAATGTACATAGATTATGATTGGAAAGACTGAAAGCTTTTGCCTTTTGGCAAGATTTTTCATAAATTGATAATCCATTTTTAACCGGATTTTCGAAGGAAATATCGGTTATTAAAATGGTGATATACAGCGGGCGGCTGGGCGGCTGCCCAAACAGTGTCCGCACAATAACATGAAAACACTTTAACAAATTTTTTTCAAATTTAAATATGTTGTTTCCTGGGACTTAATGAAGATCTCTATTAATTTTCAAGATTTTAGTATATCTCCTTTGTGAGTTATCGCCATTTTTAATATCCAAAAGTAGAATTTTTAAATATTTTACTGTTGTTATTATGTTATGATTTGTCTTATCTCAGAATAAAATTTGGAGTGACAGATTTATTTGAAAATTATCTATTTCCTAAGTGGTAATGATTATAAGCTATATCATTAGACATTTTGAAGATTATTATATTATTAATTATGTTAGAGTACTATGTTAAACAACCATAGTTCTGTTCAATTAGATATTATAAATATTTCAGCATATGATAATGATTTATTTTCATTATTAATTAGATCTTGGAAATATTTTAGCATATGATAATCATTGGAGTGACAGATTTATTTTATTTTGACTAAAGTGGGTGGTGGGGCATATCTTTTAGTGATTGTCAACGACCAAAATTGTCATAGGGGATAACAAATATAGCTTATTGACATTTTTGAAGAAATTTGACTAATAATAAATAACTGATTTTCAAACTGATTCAATGTCAATGCTAATCTTAAGCTCAACTTTCAGTAATAGCAGTCATGTTGGTTTTCAAAAGTAACATGAGAAATAAGGATAAAAATTTTAAACTATACACAGACTAAATAGAATGAGAATGTTTGAATTTTGATTATTTTTTTAATTTACAACATCGGTCAATAATGGAGACAAAATAATAAGAGATTCAGATAATTACATTTGATCAAAATTACCTGGTACACATGAGGTAAACATCAAGGAAACAGCAAAAAATAAACACAATGAAAGAACCTTAGTGAGCGCGCTCACATACCCCACGTCCCCACATTGTCATTGGAGAAATAAAATAAGTGTAAGAAAAAAAAATTGTATCAGAAAAAATAAAATGCTTCGCTGAGCGCAGCCTGATACGACCGTAGAGGTCGAACCCTGAACAGTTGGTACAAATTTGGACACAATATTCAAGCTTGATACTGTCTGAATTTGGATAGTGACATAATATAGATTTCTGACTCAAAATAAATGTGGTCAAAGATCTTACAAATCTATTGCGAAATACTGTGCAATTGAAGATTTCTTCTTGAAACTTTTAAAAAATTCAAAATTTGAAAAATTTTGAAAAAAAATATGAATCCTCTAAAAAGATTGGAAAAAAAAATACCCCCCCCCCCCCCCAACTTTTTGAAACCCCCCTTGGAGCAATAACCCCAAAACTCGATCCCAGCCTTTCCTTTGTAGTATGGAACCTTGTGGTACAATTTCAGAGAGATCCATACACTTAAACAAGTTATTGTCTGGAAACTAGAATAAACTGCTTCGCTGAGCGCAGCTTGATACGCCCGCAGAGGTCCAACCCTGAACAGTTGGGGCAAAAATGGACACAATATTCAAGCTTGATACAGGTCTGAATTTGGATTGTAATTAAATATTTGACATATTATAGGTTTCTGAATAAATCTAGTCAAAGAACTTGAAACTGGTTATATGAATTGAATTTATATTCAATTAAAGATTTCTTGCTGTTGTGTAATACACTGTGCTGTTGCGCAATACTTAGTAAATCTGTTTTCAGACTATAAACAAATAAAGTTCAATTAATTATCAATGTCATACTAGAAATTTATGAAAATCAAAAGGGAGCTTACATCAATAGATATAAACAATTTACCAAAGTTTCATGAGAATTGCTGACAGCATTTTTGAGTTATTGTCTGAAAACTGGAAAATCCCCCCTTTTTTAATGAATAAAACCCCATAACTCAGAAATGTAAAATGTAAAATTTATAAAATTCTAAACGGAGCTTACATCAATAGATATAAACAATTCACCATAGTTTCATAAGAACTGCTGAAAGCATTTTTGAGTTTTTGTCCAAAAACTGGAAAATCCCCCCTTTTTCTGAATAAAACCCTGTAACTCGGAAACGTAAAATCTAAAATTTATAAAAATCGAAAGGGAGCTCATGTCAATAGATATAAACAATTCACCACAATTTCTTGAATGTTAGTGAAAGCATTCTTGAGTTATTGTCCGAAAACTGGAAAATCCCCCTTTTTTTAATGAATAAAACCCCATAACTCAGAAACATAAAATCTAAAATTTATAAAAAACGAAAGGGAGCTCACGTCAATAGATATAAACAATTCACCAAAGTTTTATGCAAATTGGTTAAAGCGTTTTTGAGTTAATGTCCGACATGTTGACGGAGGACGGACGGACGGACGGACGGACGGACAGACGGACAGACGGACGGACAGACAGACGGACAGACGGACAACGGTATACCATAATACGTCCCGTAAACGGGCGTATAAAAATGCTTGTTTTTGGCCCTTTTCTTGGCCCCTACATATTTGGGCAATTAACCCCAAACTCAATCCTAGCCTTCCCTTTGTGATATGGAACCTTGTGGTACAAAGCAGAGAGATCCATACACTTACACACAAGTTATTGTCTGGAAACAAGAAAAATGCTTCTTTTTGGCCCTTATTCCTAAACTGTTGGCCCCATAACCCCCAACATAAATCCCAACCTTCTACTTGTGGTATTAAACATTGTCGTAAAATTTTAGAGCAATCGAAATACTAATACACAAGTTATTATCCTGAAACTAGAAAAATGCTTCTTTTGGGCCCCTTTTGGGCCCCTAATTCCTAAACGGTTGGGACCATCATCCCCAAAATCAATCCCAACCTTCCTTTTGTGGTATTGAACCTTCTTAAAAATTTCATAGAGATCCATTCACTTAAACTAAAGTTATTGTCCGGAAACCAATGTGTCTTCGGACGACGACGCAGACGACGACGACATCATACCATTATACGATCCCAAAAAATTTTTTGCGGTCGTATAAAAATTGAATCATAATTTCCTGTCAATATGCACATCTACATAGTATGTCATTATCTACACAGTAATTCCTGGAAAAAAAATTGAATCGTAATTTCCTGTCGATATGCACATCTACGTAGTATGTCCTTATTATCTGAAAAGGTTTCATGAAATTCTGTTGTGTGGTTTGAGAGGAGTTGCGATGACAAAAGGTTGCAGTAGTATATTGGGCAAATAAGTTCAAAGGGGCGCAACTCCTGGAAAAAAAATTTAATTGTAATTTCCTGTCGATATGCACATCTACGTAGTATGTCCTTATTATCTGAAAAGGTTTCATGAAATTCTGTTGTGTGGTTTGAGAGGAGTTGCGATGACAAAAGGTTGCAGTAGTATATTGGGCAAATAAGTTCAAAGGGGCGAAACTCCTGGGAAAAAAAATGAATCGTAATTTCCTGTCAATATGCACATCTACGTAGTATGTCCTTATTATCTGAAAAGGTTTCATGAAATTCTGTTGTGTGGTTTGAGAGGAGTTGCAATGACAAAAGGTTGCAGTAGTATATTGGGCAAATAAGTTCAAAGGGGCGTAACTCCTGGGAAAAAAATTGAATCGTAATTTCCTGTCGATATGCACATCTACGTAGTATGTCCTTATTATCTGTAAAGGTTTCATGAAATTCTGTTGTGTGGTTTCAGAGGAGTTGCGATGACAAACTGTTGCAGTAGTACATTAAAGTAAATAAGTGCAAAGGAGCGTAACTCCTAGAAAAATAATTGAATGGTAATTTCCTGTCGATATGCACAACTACATAGTATGTCCTTATTATCTAAAAAGGTTTCGTGAAATTCTGTTGTGTGGTTTGAGAGGAGTTGCGATGACAAGAAACAGGACTGACAGACAGACGGGTCAAAAACATTATACCCTCCGCAACTCGTTGCATGGGGTATAAATATGGAATAAGTATCCTGATGTCATCACATTTACAGACAATCTTTGATAAATGATAGGTAATACACACACAAAATAGCAAGATTTACACCATCCATATTCTTTACACACTACAAATAAATGGGATTTGGAAAAGATATTCAGAAATGGACAATCAACAGAAAAATAATGTAACAACAAATGCTGAAATATCTGATAGATCTAGAATGAAAACTGTAGCTAGTGTTGATTACACAAAATTGGTACCCTCTTTTGTGAATTTTTCTGAAAAATTACTAAGTTCCCAAGTATGGAAAAATGGAGAAAAAATCCTCAAGCATTCGATAATAGCATGTTCACAACTTCAACATGTGTGCAGTCTTTCTGTGAACTTTCTGGGATCAGGGTTGAAAACTGTAGAAGTATATTTCACAAATTAAGTACACATATTACCCCACCTGACCTTCTTAACCATACTATAAGACAGTTCTTGACCCCCTACAACCTGACCAATTACTGAAAGATGTTCTCTTTTTAAATAATTTGTGTCAGCATTTAAATAATAAAAAAAATCAAAATCATGTTCGAACTGTTTATTTTCACATTTAATGTTCAAGTTAATTCAAAATAAAACATGTATAAATAATAATCATATTTCAAATCTTCAATTGAGTCTCTGCAATAAGTATCATGCTTCTTATGCATGGTATTAATAAATTTGCAATTATACTACAGAATTCTACAACTATTAAAATGTTAAAACATTATGTATTAAGATTCTTTTTTAAATTAAACCAAAAAGGCAACTCATGATTTTCCTAAATGGTGAAAATTTTTACATGCACCATTTTGATTTGGAAGTTCTGACAAGTATATTGCTTTCAAAATTTAATAGTAGCTTACATTCTCACATTATAGTGAACTGTTATGGCAGATTTAAAGCTGAGGAAAAAATTAAAAGAGTGGACCTTTGTTTAAATATATATGGGTCCGTTTTGCAAAATATTCAAACTAACAATGTAAATCCTACATAAAAGATTTCATTTTTTCAAATTTTTTTTTTCTTAAATTTTGCAAGTATTAAGCCAGTATTTTCTTAAGTACTGTAAATCTTGATGCCATGAAGAAATTCCATTTAAAATATGTTACCAAACTATACCAGAGTATATTAAATGTTTCCATATCTTTCTCTTTAGAGATTTTAGTTATTTTATCAATAACGGACTAAAAATATGCATCCTTAATGAAAACTGAGATTTATGATATTAATGTAAATAAACATGAGATCAAGAAACTAACACATTTAGATAACAATGTTATGTAAACAAACATATAATATGTGAAGGTAACTATCTTTAAACAATGTTCATGCATTTCAAATGCAATTAACAATAAGGAATAAAACAAAAACAACCAAATATCAAACTAAGCATGAAATATTCTGTCAAAAACCTTTGATTAATGTGAAAAAAATGTACCGTTAAGTTTGAAATTTAACAAAATTACTGAGATAACTGAACATTAAAACATTTAAGTTAAAATAAACAGGTGCACTAGTCAACAATGACAATACTAGGTCAGATCCTAGTCAACAATGACAAAAACTAGGTCAGATCCTAGTCAACAATGACAAAAACAAGGTCAGATCTAGTCGACAATGACAAAACTAGATCAGATCCTCAATAAAACTGGACTACACTAAACCATGACACTTAAACATGTGATCATATGGTGATAGTTGCGTCAAAAAATTTATAAGCAAAATCTCATGGCACATTTTAATTAATTCAATTACCAATGACCCATCAAGCAAATTATAGACAGGTCATAGTAGGACAAAAGTTATAAAATCAATTTCATTTAAAAAGCAGTTTTTTTAATCAGAAAAAAATTGGTTCAACCAAATCAATGTAAATACAAATATTAAGGCATAAACAAAAAACAACTAATGAATGTCCAAAAGCCTTGATAAACCGTATTTCAGCTACATGTAAATTTAGTTTTAACTTTTTTTTCCCTGATGTAATAACATGGTATGTTAATATTTTGTAGGGATTAATTTTGGCAAGTTATAAGTACTTTTATGTATGTATTTTAAGGGATTTTATGGGGTAGAAAATGTATGCATGTGCGAGAAATTAAATACACAGGAAATTAACCTGATACACGATAGGTTTATCTAAAGAGCTTAGCAAGGCTGACAATAATGCTATGTATAAAGAAGATAGGCAAAACTGAACATTAAATGGTTTTGAAAGTAACAACATTAATTCTTACCTTATTTTCATATACAACAAACCAAAAATGTGTTTACTTCTACAACCTGGTAACAACCAAATAAACTTACTTTGAAATTGTTTCATTTTTTGAATGTATATTAAAAAAGTTCATTCAAATTATATACATGTACACTGAAAAAAATTGCTTTTAATATGGAATAATTCTGTTTTAAAACATTTATTTTAACTCTAAGGTCCTGAATTGTATAATTTAAAGCCAAGTTTTTTTTTACAAATTTATTTTTTATTCTATTTTAGGAAATTCTGAATTAACTCCCTTGGTTAATAGGACAATACATAAAAACAAAAATAACATGAGTAATGGGGAACATTAGTTATCCTCTTTTTATATCATGCATTTCAGAAATTATATAGATGAAATGGGAAACAGAACAAGCTTGAAATGCACATCACTTGCTTACAATAGGTCTAAATTCTCTACATAATTTATTCATTTTTAATAGGGTTTATACTTTCCATTTTGAAAAATGTTCAGATGCACTTTTAACGTACTAATATTTGAACAGACAACATGTTTGCTTTTAAATATATTGAAGTAGACTTCCTTATAAATGTTCATTTCAAAATCAATCTTGAAGAAAAAAATTGATGTATTGTCGTAAAGCTATATGCAAGATAAGCTTTTATCTAATTGAAAAGTCTATCTATCTATATATATATATATATTATAGCTACGTGACGACTACACTGTTATCTAACAGCTGTTCTAAGATTCTAATAAATTGCAAGGTATGTATTTACAGATGTGAAAATATACAAAATTCATAATCTCTTTGTACAAAAAATTATTTTTTCTGATTGCACTTAAAATATATCATGAAAATGAGGTGACAATATAAATGAACAATGTTTTGAATGACGTCAGAAAACACATGTGTATACACTAAAATCCAATCCAATGCTATGCAGTCAGAATGTTACATTCACCAAAATTTAGAATGTTTTGATATATAATTACATCGTCTTCACAACAGGAATTTTTCTTCATCCATTTTCACAACACTGACAAATAACGATACATCATTCGAAAATACCTTAAAGGCAAAACTTCTGATGAACAAGTTTTCAGGAAGAAATTGACTTTTAGCACTTTCATCTGAGTAAATCGTCCCATTCATAGCACTTTAAATAAGTTATTCAATGACACAAAAACAAAACGACTGATGTGGTTTAATCCTTTCAGACATTTCTCATTCAAATTTCAAGTATCCCAAGAAGAACATTTATTGCCATGAAAAATTTCTCTCACACCTCATCTGGTAAAATTGTCACTATCAATCTTCTCTCTGGCCAGGAATATGTTTTAGGAAATTCAACCTGTAAGCAGAAATATCTACATCATTTTTTGCATTTAATAAAAAATATAAGAGATGAAAAACTAATGTCAAATTACATTTTGAAGTATAGAAAGAAGAGTTTGAAAAGGAACTGTCTGAATAATTTTTTTTATCTAGCAATATGCATTTACCATGACAATTTTGTTCTACTTGTTCCCAAATTCAGGTTTTAAGCTGACACGACTTTGTGCCTTTAATTTTCATGCCTACCCTAACACATTTTATGGACATTTTTGGTTATGCACTGTTAAAGTACAGACATTTTAGGTTACATACAGTATGATTCAAGTCAAGAACATAACCCTTTACAGTCTATTTAAATACTATTCTTCTACCAGGAGGCCATAAACAAGTATATATATATTTTTTGGCCTAACAACTGTGACATACAGTATCAAGGACTTGTGCTGATGATATGTCAATGTTCACATGCAGGACTAGGTAGTTTAAACAAATATATGTCTCTTCACATTAGCTATTGAAAATGCAACCAGTAGAAACTAGACATCATTGAGATGGGAGCCATCTCTGTGGGCCCCACTGACCTTGAACTTTGACCTAGGAAGTTGTACAAACATTATGACACACCCTCTGGTGTTGGTAAATATACATGTCCAGTATAAAGTATGAAATTATAATGGTTCTCTAGATACAGAGCCGACACAATTTGTAAAGGAATGGACAGACTGATACCTATAGGGCGACCTGCCACTAGGCTGGGCCCTAATAAAAAACTTATTTAAGATACAAGATTTATAATTTTGTACGCCAGATGCACGCTTCATTTACAAGAGACTCATCAGAGACGCTCCAAACAAAAGTGTTAAAAGAACAAATCTAGTACAAAATTGAAGAGCATTGAGGAAAATTTTTATAAGGTTTTACCAAATACAGCTAAGATCAACAAAAGGAACCATAAATAGTCATGTTTCACAGGGAACGTTGGTGATTATGGCAATGCAGTATGATCTCTCTCTATCCATTCATTATATAATATTTTATCATCAGTATAGGAACAATCTAAGGCCATGTCTTCAACAATGAGCAAAACCATTTCCTGGTTTTCATTACCTTAAATCTCCAGCAATCACATTTTATTGGTGTTGTTTCACTCAACACAGAGTTACTTTTATCTAATAACTAGTATATATTGCGGCACATTTTGTTTTTTACAGATTTACATATACGTACCTCTTCAGGATTTAACAACTCTTCAATGTCCATGTTCATTTCTTCTATAAAGTCATCTGTTAATAATACCTGAAACATCAAATTTCAAATATATTACATTTTTATTGAAAAAGTGTTTAATTAACTTTCCACTGCTTCAACTCTTTGAAAAGGTATCATACTTATAAAATGCACTCTCTTAATTTTCTCTTAGATTAAATATAAATCTTAAATCTTAAAGAATATAAAGATACCAAGTTTGAACCAGTATTAATTTAACTCCAGTAGTATTGACCTTCCGATTGTCTATGATTTGATTTGATTTTTATAGTGCTACTGTTTAGTTTGTAATTCATGATATTGCTTTGGATTTTTGTTAATCAACAATCATATGATAGCTTATAAATGTATTTTTTTTTAATTATTTTTTGTTTTAAGGTTGGTCTTTCTCTGTCCTCTTTTTTTTTTTTTATTAAAAACTTCTTTCATCTGTAAATAAACATGGTTTCTGGCTCATTTAATATTCTCAATACATAAATTATTTCCTTATTTTTATATGGTAAACTTCATTTGTATATTACTTACCTGTAACCATGGTCCATGAGCAGCAAAGGGATGGTTTTCATCTGCGATTGATCCATTTACACTCAATGATACTAATGTAATAGCAGTGTCATTTAAAGCACTCATAAAAGTAAAATGTCTTCCATGCTTTAACCTGCCCCGTAATGCCAAGGGAAGTAATTGGCCTGCTTCAAGGTTAAATTTTAAATGTACTGCATCCAATGAGCGAGTGCGTAGTAATTCTGTTGGTCCATCCGAACATGTACTATCAAATGACTGTTTTCTTGACTGACGGCTGTAAATATAAGAAATTCAGTGTTAAAACTCAAATATACTGCATTTAAACAAAAAATTTCCAAAAACAAATTGTTTATGCAATTATCTGAAAAATGTGCTTGGTTTATGAACTTCATTTGAACTTTGGTGGATAGATGTCTCATTGGAAATCATACCACATCTCCTTATTTTTATATTCTTTACTAACCAGAAGAATTTTTTTGTAGTTATAGAAGACAAAGGCTTATTAACATCCTGTCACAAAATTACTTGATCAGAGATATGTTTCAAAAGATACTAATCTTTTTAAGTCCTGTTTTAAATTCTTTTTCATATTATTACTTACTAATATTGACTAAAATACATTTCCATTGTTCATCATCTCAAAAGGTCATTGTGTAATTGTGTAATATTGAATAACCAAAACTAGGTATAGACTATCCTTCCAATTTTTCTAATATTTTTATTTCAATTGCTAAATAAAAATAGTTAGATTTGTGTTCTCTTCTGAAGGACAATTATAAAGAAATGTTGCATTTAAGACTTTAATTTAATTTTTTAACAAAGTACTTACTCATATTCGAAATTCTCTCTAGAGTCTCTTCTACCAAAATTACTTGGTCTGGTTAAACCTTTCTTTAATGTTGCTTTTATTTGTTCTGAATCTGTAATATAAATGTTTAGATTATATATACTGATAAAAATAAAACTTGCAGTTCTAAAATCAATGAGAAAACAAACACACAAAAATTGTTCAACTACATAGACTTTTAATGATAAATTCAAAGGTTTTTTTTTCATTTTCTTGTACATAATATTTTACAGAGAGATTTTCAGGCAAATTAAGAAAATATTTGTTAGATTTCTTGTTACAGCTTGTAACTTGTTGATATTAGTCTGCATCTATTTTTTGCCTTATCTAAATATTATGTAGAAGTCCACTGGAGCAAGTAATACAGGCCTTCTTCTGCTTTGAAGTGGGAGCTTTTTCTCAGTGTTGTAGGCTTCACAGTGACTTTGAGTTGAAGAACAGCAATAAAAGCTTCAAATTTATTCAACAATAAGTGCAGGGATTTAAATTAATACACAATATCCCTTCTATTCCATAACAACCTAAAGACGTACCAAAATCGGATATTCTTGGTCTGTCCAGTTCATTACTGTTTCTTCTCTCTTCATGCATGTGGTTATCATCTTCATTGAAGTAATCCTCAGACCCCTCCCCTGGTTCCTCCCAGGAACAGCGACTGTTAACTCCGGACAGGTTTGATCCTTCAGTCTCTATACCCTGGTCCACTCGGTCCTGAAGATGTGGGTCAATCTCAAATATGGTCTCTCCTCTTCTCATATCAGTTATTAACCATGGTCCACCAGCACTGAAATAATTACAAATCATATTATAGACAAGGTCTAAAATCTAAAAACATCAATATGGCATTTCTTACAATGTCTGCTATCTATCTTTTGTCAAGATTTATTCAATTGATCAATATTAAATTTAATACCCCTTCCCTTAATGTTTCTAGTCATACACATCTTTTTTTTTCCAATTTGATAATTTTTTATTCCACTTGTTTACTTCACTTTTTGTGTGATTTTAATTGATAATTTCATATTTTATAAAAGAGAAGACACAAAAGAGTACAAAATTATATTAAAAAATCAATATTGAATTATGTGAAGCTGTGTATAAAGCACAACCCTTCTCAAGATAATTTTCCACAAGTAATATATTTTTAGATTATCTACTTGCTGGTAAAAAACCTCTATTGGACAATATTTATATTCTGTTAATTCAGCCCAAATTGTCTCGTTAATAGCATTATATTTGATAAATCTGAAAATCTCACTCAAAATATCCTTGTAAAACTGCTAAATCAAGTCCCAGAAAATATCAACAATTTATAAAAGCTTCATTCAGAAAAAGTGATATGATGTCAAACACTTTTTCTATTTTTTTTATTGAAAGGGGGGGGGGGGGGACTTTAATATTAAGTTGAGCAGTTTTTCACCTATTTAAGGTTTATTTTATTTATAAGTTGATTTTAACAGTTAAGATCAAATTATTGTTTACACCTATAATTATCAAGTTTGAAACCGTCTTAAAATATCATGTATCCCACAGAATAGCATTCAAATACATTTGGCCTTTTTAATATTTTTTTATTTGAGCGTCACTGATGAGTCTTTTGTAGACGAGACGCGCGTCTGGCGTAAATATAAAATTTCAATCCTGGTATCTATGATGAGTTTATATACACAACAAATCAATTTTCTCATGAAAGTGTTCATTTTCATAATTGTGAAAGGAAAGAAATAAATATTGAATAAATATGAAACACTTAACGTGAAATGACAAGAAAAGTTAACTAGCTTCTATTAGCTAGCCTAAACAGGAGTAGGGCCATGACGGGTTAAAATTTGCTCGTAGATTTTTAAATGTTTTTTTTTAATTAGGCCAAAATACTACAATTTTTAATAAGAAATAGTTGTGATATTACTATTTATATAAATTCTTTTTGGCACATCACATTGTCAATACCAAAGTTAGCCCACATAACTAATTATGCATTATTTTTATTGTATTATCAATTATGCATCATTTGTATTGTATTATTAATTATGCATTATTTGTATTGTATTATTAATTTTGGTTCAATTTTTTCCAGTTTTTAGAAAAGATAACTTTGTTTAGGGATACAATATTAACACTGACCAATTATGGTTAAGGAACATTTTTGATTTCAGGTTGCTGCCAAAGTTTCCTGAAGCTTTTCGGTAGAAAAAATGTGCAAAATCGCTGTGCTTACTTTGGAGCCTATAATGTACTTTAATTAAGAGATTTGTTTTACTTAGCATTTAAAGCTTTTGAAATAGATACATTTAAGAAACAAATTATAACCTTTTTAATATTTTATGATAAAGCTGAAATTCAAAACTATTTGTTGGTAAAAGAGAACATTGTCCTTTCTTCACCACAAACAATCTACAGTTTCAGTATTTCATATTTAAAATACTTAAATCTCAATATAAAATAAATACAAATTACACAGGATAATTATGCCATGCTCTTTTAACGTGTTCTAACATTCTAACATGTCTTACCACGGAATTGATCTAACCAGCTCTATTACACCAGGCCCATTCCAATGCTGAGCTGCCCTTAATTCTTCTTCACATAATCCAATAATCTACAACATTAATTGATAACACATGTTCAAAGTTTGCTTGATGACAACACAAGTAAAGATATAGTTTTTTCAAGGCTATTTGTAAACATTATTTCCCTTTTGGTTAAGGCAATATTTCTATAGAAACTGAAAAAGGACCAAAACACTTTAAATTCAGTACAGTTTTTGCAGGTCATGACCAGAAAAATGACTGTTTTGAAGACCATGGGACAATGTGAACATTTTAAAAACATATATTTTTTATCACAGAATATATTTTTCAATATGAACCAATTTTAAAGCTTCAACTTTCCTTCATTATTTAATTCCAGAAAAAACCATAATACAATAAACTTACTTGTACAAAATTTACACTACCAAATGGTGTACTAATGGGTAATAACTGTGCATCTTCTGCCATAAGCATGTGTTGAATTCTCGACTCACTTCCGTCCAATGGCATATTCCATGGAACATGGTCACCACTATATAAAACATTTTCTGAAAAGCAAGGAAAAATATTCTTCATTCAAAATACATAAATAAATGTGGTATAATTGCCAAAGAGACTTCTATCGATCTTATATATGTTGTTGTGCATATACGTAAATCTTTATCAATTCGTTTTGACATAAGACTATATCAGGCAAGCATGTTATTTTCTATCGATCTTATATATTTTGTTGTGCATATATATACATAAATCTTTATCAATTTGTTTTGACATAAGACTATATCAGGCATGCATATTATTTTTTTTGTTGAATTTCAATTTTTGTCACAATGGTGGTCAATATAATGACTAGTATTTCTATCGTTTGTCTTTGACACTAAAAATATATTCTTAAACTTTTCAGTTATTTTGATCTCATGTATGAAAGTCAACAAAGGACAAGGTCTTTTATGTGAAAACTGTGATTTTTTTCCTTATTTTTTTTTTTATATTTTCAAATTTTTATTTCATTCACTTGTATTTTATAAAGTCGAAACTTTCAGTTATATGCAGATATATATTATTCTGCATTTGTAAACCCTTTTAAAAAGATTCAAAGAAATGTTTCAGAATTTAAAGAGAAATGGATATGTTTTTTTTTGCTCTTACACTAATACATTGCAAAATGACATTAAATCAAGGTTCATATATGTTTAATATGTGGCTTTTTTCAAATTACCTGTTTGGAACACATATCTTGACAACGCCTGCATTAAAGTGGCAGGCCATGTTGGTGGGTTTGTTTCACCTTGTTCCCGTTTGAGTCGAAAAGTTAATTCAAAACCAAATCCACTTGGTCCTTCGTTTCCATTCATTCTGAACTGATGACTGAAAAAGAACAAACAGATACTTTAAAATTGACACTTGCTGTTATATACTTATAGTTATTATAAAATAAATTTCTGAGAGAGAATAAAAACTGATGTGTTTCCATCTTCATTTAAGACCTGATACATGATTCTGTATGATTAATTTTACCTTTTTTTCGTTATCATGCTTATGTTAAAATATCATTTTTTTCCAATCCAAAAATTTCAAACAGAATTATATACATGTATATAGAGTATTTGTAAGTTTTAATGTATACTTTTTCAGAACTAAAAATATTAACATTTGGTTTGTAGATAAATGTTGATCAATTATTACAGGTGATTCTAGTCATATCAAACTCTCTTGTCAAAATTCCTGTTATCTCAAAGTATAAAGTCTGTCTCGTTAAATCCATTCGCCCTTGAACCTAAAATCTAAAGAGGCTATAGAAGCTGCCATACTGTCAGAACACCATACACTCCATACCAGCAACAACACAGCAGTTGGAGCAAAATGAAAGCAAGAAGACAAGTCCGCAATATCCTAAAGGATAGCCGGACCCTAAAATCCACATATCATCATCATCGATTTGCATTACATGTTATCCCAAAGTACATGTATAATGTGTATCCCTATTGACAGATTTGCATTATATTTACATCATGTACTCCTGGTATCTCAAAATTTTGATAATGAGAAAAATAATCATTGTTAGTCTTATCAACTTTTAGATAATAGTTGTGACTGTAAATGAATTGAGAGTTCATCTGCCATTACAGGTTATAATGTTTCCAGTGATAAATTTTAATCTTCATGATCTTAAGCAAGTCAAGAGAAATCTTTTTATGTAACAAAAGTAACTGTTTTTCCACCATCATTAATATTTGGTCAATTGGACAAAGAAAATAGTTTAATTGTCTGTAACAAAAGTCAGTTGTAACAAAGCATGTCAAATTTCAGGTATACTTTTAGCTTAAGATTTTTGCATAGATTACCATCACAGTTAAGTCATATCTTTTCTATTTTTTCACCTATTTATTTCATATAAAAATCTAAATATTTCATTTCCTCTCAAAATATCTCAGATTTTTATGAATTTTGCACCAATACTCTCAGCAATATTTGTAGATTATAATGCTTACTGTCACATCTTTTTTGAAATTTTAACTTTCAAACATTCATGATTCAATCATTTCGTATATCACAAATGTAAATCAAACTTTTGTATAAATAAAGAAACTAGTGACATCAACATTTAACTTCATGAGAAAATATCATAAGAAACAGCAAAAATTTCTGAAACAAAGAAATTAAGTAACTCTAAAAAAATTTCAAATTTTATATAAAATTATTTGGAAAATAATGAAAAGGGAACCAATTTTGTCTTCATGATGTATATATATAATATTTAATTTATTAATTCATCTTATAATCCCTCAAATATGGAGTAAAAAATATCCAATACATTTACATTATATATAATTAGATTTAAATGATTCTAGAAGGTTCTTCTACATTTGTAGCAGTACACAAAGATTAGAGCATGTTAATGTCAAAAGAAAATTCCCACAGCACCAATTTTTGCATTTCCTTGTTCCCCTTTTCCCACTGACCAAGAACACTGTTATTTAATCTTTGAGTTTTATGATTGTTAGAGTTTGATTCAGTCTTAAACTTACTCGTGTACTCGACCATCTCCATGCAAGTCTGACAGTCCGTAACTTATATAATGCCAGTGGGGAGGTATTCCTCGGTTTTCATCACCTGGATTAGAGTACATGCTAATATAGTCCAAAGGATCTGGACCTCCAAGCCTGAAATGAGAAAAATATAATTCATAAATCACATGTAAAATGTACAAATACTATTACCCAAATTGGGTAAAAATCAAAACAAATTCACCAGGGATTACATCATTTTCTAAGACTATTTCAAATAATTTTTATTTAGTCTACATATCTAATTTATATATATAACTATATATTTATTGTAAAACTAAATTTTAAAATTACTCAATACAAACACTATGTACATTCGTAACACTGACTGAGAAAGCAAACTCTAAACATGCTATTCATTTGGCAAAAGTATTTTTTAATTTCCTTTTACTAAATTTTTTTTACTAGCATTAAAATACAAGTACATGTATTTCATTTTGAAATAATAATAACTTGATAATTCAACTTATTCTTAAATGTCAATTTAGTGTCGAAAAAAGGGGTATGATCATATACCTGTACCCATATTCACAAAATATTTTCAGCTTTTAAGCATATGACATGTAAAATAATATTGGAAAAACAAATTGCACGAAACTAATTCTTCACCATTTTGCTTAAAAAACTGCTTTATTACTAAATATAACTGAACTAGTAAATGAAACTTACTGGCATCGACAAACTTCTCTCATTTTTGCAACTTGCAAAAAATGTCGTCGTCTAACAGACAAAATCCAAACAACACTAACTAGTATTGTTTTTCGTCACAATTCAAAAGTATTAATTCCAAATATTTTCACGAATCTATAATCCAGAAATTTATATTCCATGTAACATGTAACCTTACACAACACTGAATCTCTTTTATCATTGAACTATCTACCTCGACAGGTGTTTAAATTCTTGCCGATACCTGTGTTTAAAAAAATATTTGTCTCATCTTCCATTTGGAACGTTAATGTTTAAATTAGGTATTTAATATCGTGTAATTCCCCCCACACAATGCCACCACTGTTCACCTCCGCTAGAAATTATTATTGATTTAAAGACTCATGCTGTAATATTTATTTATCCACCTTAAAAGAGCTTAGATAGTTGGCATAGAAACAGTGTACCACCCAAGGTTTCAGTTGATGAGGATCACCCCCTAGTGTTTATTGGTGTCAATAAAATAACTCTCCTAGCGGCAACGCCTGAGACCCCCTGCTATCATGTAAACAAAAGTCTTACGATAGTTTACACTATTTTCAATAGCATGAGTGTTTTTAATGCAATCAAGCGCAACCCTTTAGAAAAACAAACTTTGTGGGATTTAAATCTCTCTGATTCACCTGGTCAATTATATCTCATTCAAATGTATCTTTAATTGCGTAAAATTAGAATATAAATTAATAAACACACCAGATATAGAAACCGCAGGTGAAGGGAAACGATTTCCATAACAAGACATTGTATTGCTATTGAATGGCAGAACAATACCTTCAGACAATTTTTCAATTTTATTTCCCACCACATAGTCAACAAGTTAATGGTCTACCCTCCTCAGTGATATTATGGTTTGCATTCCAACTATAAAAATAAATATCTATAGAAACCTACGTTTCCATCTCTTTTTAATGTCTTCACATTCTGTCAACATTCAATTCTTTATGAATTACTTTATTAAAATATTTCAAACATGAAAATGACAGCAGTTTTATATTGAAAAAAAAATTAAGTTGGTTTCCTAACATGTAAAGACTCTGGGAAGCTAAAGTTCACAATTTAAAAAAAAAAAAAAAGAGAAAAAAGTGTTCCCACCAAACTTAAACTCCTCTATGAAGTTAACTGTTTGAATATATATTATACATTTTTTTTCTCAATCCATTCAATTCTTAATGAATATATTGATTACCATCTCCCAAGTAGATACACACATATACATCTGAAGAGAACCCTTTTTACTTCTGAAAATAATAGGTCAAAATATTTTTTTTAGAAGGGGAGGGAATGCTGTCATTCAAAATCAAAATACCAAAAAAATTTGGCTTTACTTCTGGCCATTACAAAAAAAATTGCTGCAACTTGTTCCCTACACCCCCCCCCCCCCCCCTCTGTTCTACTCCTCCCTATTTCATCATCCTTTTTTTGTGAAAAAAAATGTAGGCCAGCTCATCCTTCCTTCAAGTTCTCATTTAATTTTGATTTAAGTATAAATTCGCTTTGAACTTGAACTTTGAATCACAGAAGTAATTACAAACATGTAATCATACCATATTTTTTTACTAATGGATTCTTAACCTCAGGATTCTTGGGTATGTGTATTGAAGACCATGACAGATATCCCCATGTGGTATATATCCCATTCTAAATGTCACAGGAGTCATCAGCTGCTGAGATACATGTATTTATACAAACACCAAGTGTGAGATAAAAATCACTATAAAATCAATAGGGTCATACATAAAGCGTCTACAAAACCCGAGAGAGATAAATAATCTTGAATATTGGTATTTGTTCAGTTCTCACACAGAAGGTCTCCCAACCTTGATGACAAAATTAAATTTATTTACATCAAAACTATCATTTAACTTAATTGATCCAATTAAAAAGCTTCTATTGAAAAATTAAGACTACGCGGAGGCCACATTGGAGTGATCTTTTATCTTCGCAGGGGACACTGGAGTGATAATCTTCTAAACAGAGCTGACTGGGAGGTGTCATAAATATTTAATTCTCAGTTTATTTAATATTTAACTTCGGCCTACTATTCAGATACTTCAGCTAATCTTTAAAATGATTTAATAGCAAACTACAATAGAAAAGATTAAACAAAGCTGTCTGATGTAGGACAGTTAGCAAGTACGACTGATATCATTTGTCAAACAATACTTCCTTCCCCAAAATTGGGAAGAATGTGTAATAATCAGTATTAAATCAAACATAGGATCTTTTTATTTATAACAAGATATATGTATCGATAAACAATTTGTCGTTATCCCCATTGCTCTAACGACCCTGTCCTGCATCAAATTTGCTTATTTCATATAATGTTTTTTTCTAAATTATCATTTCTATGACTTGAATGATACATATTTATCTTTCATAAAGATGATTCACTTTTCTGCATGATTTTTGTCAATTTACTGTGTACAATCATCAATGTACATGTAATATAATTTTTCAAAACAGCAGACAAGTCCAAACCTTAAAGATGTTTAAGTAGCTAAGAGGTATTACAACCATTTTTAACAGAGAAAATATTGGTCACGATAAAATGTTATTTATAAAAATTAACTTGAACAGAAAAATACCAATCCTTTTATTTTAAAACAGGTCCTTGTACATAAAAATATGTACCTTATTTCATGTATTTTGATCAACATACAAAAAAATAAATGTGGATAGTGTCCACATGTGGACACAGATGATGCCCCCGCTTGAATATCATATAGTTATAAAGGGACATAACTGAAGAACAGTAAAAGTGACTCTACCCAAATTTGAACTTGATCTGAGTTTTGTGTGTAAGTCTCATAACATTTGGTTGAGGCTAACTTAAGTAGAGAACAGAAACTAAAAATTCAGCAATTTTTCTATTTATAAAGGGGCATAACTCAATAATGGTTAAAGTGACACTACCCAAATTCAACTTGATCTGTGTTTTATCAGTGGAATTCAAAATTAAACATTGCATTGTATAAAGCATTGATTGAAGTTGATTCAACTATAATCATGGACAAGGGAAGATAACTCCAATTTTAAAAATAACTTGATATTTAGAAGAAAATAAAAATTTTGCAATTTTTTCAATTTATAAAGGGGCATAACTCTAGAACGGTTAAAGTGGCGCCACCAAAATTCAAACTTGATCTGTGTTTTGTGGTAATAAGCCTTGTGTATAAGTTTCATAACATTTGGTTGAGGTAAACTTAAGTTAGAGGACGGAAACTAAAAATTTTGCAATTTTTCCATTTATAAAGGGGCATAACTCTAGAACGGTTAAAGTGACGCCACCAAAATTCAACCTCTATCTGTTTTTTGTGGTAATAAGCCTTGTGTATAAGTTTCATAACATTTGGTTGAGGCAAACTTAAGTTAGAGAACAGAAACTAAAAATTTTGCAATTTTTCCATTTATAAAGGGGCATAACTCAGGAACGGTTAAAGTGACCCCTCCATAATTCATACATGATCTGTGTTTTGTGGTAATAAGCATTGTGTATAAGTTTCATAACATTTGGTTGAGGCAAACTCAAGTAAGAGAACGGAAACCAATTTTGGTACGTACGTACATACGTACGTACAGACGGACAAGGGTAAAACTTAATGCCCCCACCGCTACGGCGGGGGCATAATAAACTGCTTCGCTGAGCGCAGCTGGATACGCCTGCAATGGTCTAACCCTGAACAGTTGGGGCAAAAATGGACACAATATTCAAGATTGATACAGGTCTGAATTTGGATTGTAATTAAATATTTGACATACATCTATTATAGGTTTCTGAATAAATGTAGTCAAAGAACTTGAAGTTGGTTATATGAATTGAATTTATATTCAATTAAAGATTTCTTGCTGTTGTGCAATACACTGTGCTGTTGCGCAATACTTAGTAAATCTGTTGTCAGACTATAAACAAATAAAATTTATAAAATTTTAAAGGGAGCTTACATCAATAGATATAAACAGTTCACCAAAGTTTCATAGGAATTGCTGAAAGCATTTTTGAGTTTTGTCTGAAAACTGGAAAATCCCCCCTTTTTTAATGAATAAAACCCATAATTTGGAAATGTAAAATCTAAAATTTATAAAATTCTAAAGGGAGCTTACATCAATAGATATCAACAATTCATCAAAATTTCAGGAGAACTGCTGAAAGCATTTTTGAATTATTGTCGGAAAACTGGAAAATCCCCCTTTTTTTATGAATAAAACCCCATAACTCGGAAACATAAAATTTAAAATTTATAAAAATCCAAAGGGAGCTCATGTCAATAGATATAAACAATTAACCAAAATTTCTTGCAAGTTGGTGGTAGCATTCTTGAGTTATTGTCCTAAAACTGGAAAATTACCCTTTTTTAAATGAATAAAACCCCATAACTCGGAAACATAAA